TCCAAAGTATGGCCTACTTTAGGGAACAGTACACACCAACGACACAAGACCCCAACCTCCACAAGTATTCATTTGATACACAATACATATATGTACTTCGCCGCAAAGATTGAATTCAAATAGCATCTAACTTTGTTCTTTCTAGAGCTTCAAACATAGCCGTATATGTCAATTTCTGTACATGTCCAAAATATGGCCTACTTTTAGGGACAAGTGCACACCAACAACACAAGACCCCAACTTCCACAAATATTCAATTAATACACAATACATGTACTTCCCTGCAAAGATTGAATTCAAATGACATCCTACTTTGTTATTTCTAGAGCCTTTAAACATAGCCGTATATGTCAATTTCTGTACATGTGCAAAATATGGCCTACTTTTAGGGACAAGTGCACACCAACGACACAAGAACCCAACCTCCACAAGTATTCATTTGATACACAATACATATATGTACTTCCCTGCAAATATTGAATTCAAAAAGCATCTAACTTTGTCATTTCTAGAGCTTCAAACATAGCCGTATATGCTAATTACCTCCATGAAAAATGGAGGTATTGTTTTTGGCGGCGTCTGTCTGTGTGTCTGTGTGTGTGTGTGTGTCTGTGTGTCTGTGTGTGTTTCCGCAACTTTGTAGTCAGCATAACTTCATAACGCCTTTATGGATTGTGATGATATTTGGTATGCTGATAAGTCTTAGGAAGACAAAGGTCAAGGTCAAATATGGGCCTCCTGGTGGATGACCTTGGTACTGCAGCAGAACTTCCGGTTTTTGTATCTTTGGTCCTGAACATGCTATGGTCTCGAATTTTTGGTGACAGATAGCTTTTCCTGTCAGGAATAAGTGGTGTGGGTTTGGTCCCCCTAGCAGCTTGTTCAGGAACTGCAGGGGACTTTCGGGCGAAATCTTTGAAAGCCAATAAGTCCAGATAGGAACAGCGTATTTTCATCATTTTTGGTGTGTAGGTATCTGACAGAGAGATGTACATAATTAACTGCAAATTATGCAAATGAGGACTTTATTTGCATAATTAATGAGGAAATTCTATAATTACAGTGTTTTACATTATAGAACTTTCATACATGTAATGTATATAACCTATGGCAGATGGAACATCAACAGATACTAATTATGCAAATGATGACCTAATTTGCCTAATTAATGCAAAAAAACTATGATTTCTCAATGGTGAATGATGGGAATGTCATACTTGGGACATCTTTAAGTTAATCAAAAGTTAACATCACGATGCATATATTATGTTAATGCAGAGGTCATTTGCGTAATTAAAGAAGAAATTTACATTTACATATCAAGCCCATATTTCATGGAGGTATGAGATCTCGGAACTCTTGTTTCTGTATGTATGTCCAAAGTATGGCCTGTACTTTAGGGAACAGTACACACCAACGGCACAAGAACCCAACCTTCACAAGTATTCATTTGATACACAATACATATATGTACTTCCCCGCAGAGATTGAATTCAAATGACATCCTACTTTGTTATTTCTAGAGCTTCAAACATAGCCGTATATATCAATTTCTGTAAATATCCAAAACATGGCCTACTTTTAGGGACAATGGCACACCAACGACACAAGACCTGAACCTCCACAAGTATTCATTTCATACACAATACATGTATGTACTTCCCTGTAAAGATTAAATTCAAATGGCATCCTACTTTGTTATTTCTATAGTTTCAAACATAGCCGTATATGTCAATTTCTGTACATGTCCAAAATATGGCCTACTTTGAGGGACAAGTACACACCAACGACACAAGAACCCAACCTCCACAAGCATTCATTTAATAGACAAAACATAGTGTTACTTTGGGCAAAAGAATTTATCAGATTGCTTTCTTTCTTTTGTAGATATAGTATCCTGAACATGGCTGAAAATCATATTTTCCCTCAAATTCAAAATTTGACCTACTTCTAAGGACAACCACGTGACAACCAAAGAAGTGCCCAAAGTTTGCAACCATGCATTTTATAGCACATATGTTTATGTATCTATGATTAAAATTTGAAGCAAAAAAATTTACCATCTTTGGACTTACAGCACTTTGAAGTTGGGTAGAAATAACGCTTTTTCATAAGCCTCAAACACTGTATTGTGTTAGGGTTGCCCAGGTCATTTAAACGAACTTCTTGAAAATTTCAAAGCTATTCTGGAATAGCGGATTAGTTGGTCTTTTATGCCCATACTTTGTTTTTCCATAATATTAAAGCACTTGCTCGTAATCGTGCCTTAAACTATGCCAAATTTCATGTTTTTCACATGTCTAAATCAGTGAAAATGGCCCTGAAACTTGTTTGGCCCGTTACCATGGC